CTTTTAGGATTGAGCCTTAGATTTACCTTCCTTATGATGCTGAAGACCTCCCTCAAATCATTTGCATGATCATTCGCCTTTTGGCTTTTTACAATCATGTCATCAACATATGCCTCCATGTTTCTCCCTAAGACTGATCTGAACACTTTGGAGACCATCCTTGTGTGGGTAGTTCCTGAGTTTTTCAAACCGAAGGCCATGACTAGGTAGCAAAAGACTTCCCTTGGTGTGATGAACGAGGTCTTCTCAGCGTCATCTGGGTGCATTGAGATCTGATGGTACCCTCTAAATGCATCCATAAATGAGAGGAGTTCGCATCCAGCAGTCTGATCTACCAACTGATCTATGCTCGGTAAGGGGAAAGGATCCATTGGGCAAGCTTTGTTCAAGTAAGTGTAATCCACGCACATTCTCCAGGTTGGTGGCTTAGGAGCCAAAACCACGTTGGCAAGCCACTCTGGATATTGGACTTCTCTAATGTGCTTTATGCCTAATAGCATTGCTACTTCCCCTTTAACAAATTCCTTTCTGTCCAAAGATAAGTACCTACGTTTTTGCTTGATAGGCGCAGCCGCGCAGCCTTTGGATCCACGTTCAAATGATGAACTGCTATTCTGGGGTCGAGCCCGGGCATATCCTTAGGTCCTCAAACGAAGATCTCCTTGAATTCCATCACAACTTAGACTATTCTTGCTTTCAGGTCGGCCTGGAGCCCTGCACCGATTTTGATCCGACGTTCTGGCCGGGCTGGATCGACTCCTACCTCCTCAAGCTCTGAAGTAGGCAGGGCTTTGAACTGCCCTCCCTCAAACTTTGATAAGTCCCGTTCAATGGCATTCACTCTAGCTTCGTTCCTTCCGTGAGTTTTGCATGCCCTCACATAGCAACTTCTGGCCATTTTTTTGTCTCCTATTATCGTTCCTATCCCCGCGGGGGTATAAAACTTGATGCATAAATGAGCCTGGGAAATGATGGCTCCCAGGTCCTCCAAAAGAGGTTGGCCAAGGATTGCTTTGTGGACGCTGGGTAGCTGCACCACTACGAAATCCGTCTCGATGGTCCTCACACACGGTTCCGATTCGAGATGGATCTTGAGGGTGACAACCCCCTCGGGCTCAATTGTGTCCCCGGTAAAACCTGACAGCGGGGTTCTAACGAGCTTGAGGTCTGCCTTTTGGAGACCGATCTCATAGAGTATTCATGTACAGAATGTTTACTGAGCTTCCGTTGTCGACGAGGACTCGATGGACAATGGTATCAAGAACCTCCATTTTTATCATTAGCACATCCCTATGTGGTGGAGGACACGGCGGCAGGTCATCGTCGGTGAAGATAATGGATTCTCGCTTTTGCTTTTTGTCGGCGGGAAAGCGGTTGATTTCTCCAATAAAGAGTTGTCAATTCCATTTTTTCCTTTCCACCGTTGTGTCTCCGCCTATAGGTCCGCCGAAGATCTAGTTGACATGTGGACGCTTCTGCCGACCTGAATCTTCCCCTTCTTCATCATCCTCAAACTGGGCTCCAACCTCCATTTTCTTCGAAGTTGAGGCTGACTCGTCTTTCCCCCCTATTCCAGGTGTTCCTTTCCTGGGGATCTTGATTCTGCCGGATCTTCTTCACAAATTGGTCCAGCTGTCTGTCGCGGGCTAGTTTTTCCACATATTTCTTGAGAATGTAACAATCGTCGGTCTCATGGGTATCGTTTTTGTGTATTTTACAAAACTTATCCTTTGAAGGTTGACCGTTGACGTTGTTACACCCCTCAGGCGATTGTTATCATACCTTGCTTGGCCGCGTAGTCTAGAACCGTATCAACTGGAAATTTAGGCTGGCTGGATAGGGGACCTTCTCGAACATTTGATCTGCCCTTTCCCCAGCCCTTCTTCTTCTTTCTGAACCCGTTCCCCTTATCTTGGTCATGGGTTTCCTTTTCTGAACTCTTCTTTTTCTCTTCGATAGGTTGGGACCTCCCAGATTCCTCATCTCTCTTTCGTTTTTATGCTTCCTCAACTTCGGCCTGTGCGCCAGCACGCAGCAGGGCCTCCTCGTGTGAGGTCGGGGGGTTGCGTAGGAACTCTTTGTACAATTCACCCGACCTTAGAGCGTTGGTGAGAATAGCCACAACAGATTTGTCATTCAGGTCTTCTACTTTAACTGTCTCATCTCCCCAACGAACTAGAAAGTCAATCAGGGTTTCTTGGGAGCCCTGCTTGATTCCTAGAAGGTGAGAGATATTCATTTTGGAATCTTTGGAAGTGGCAAAATGCGCAACGAACGCGTGAGCCGTCTCGGAAGCTTCTTATCCTTCCATCTGGCAAAGATTCGTACCATTCCCGGGCTGGCCCATATAGGGTTACCGAGAATCCTCTACACTTTATGGCATCATTGTATCCTATTATGACCATGTAAGCCACGTACTTGGAGACATGATGCTGGGGATCCATTTTTCCCCTGTAGGCCTCGATGTTGTATGGTCTGTATCCTTGAGGCAGTGGTGCCTCCATAATCTGCCTAATAAAAGGCTCAGGAATTCGCACGCCATGCTCAAGACCAGTTCTCCCTTCGATCTCCCTTCTGAGCTCGTCCAGCCTCCTCCTGAGGTCGATATTGTTATGACCGGCCTGGGTACGCACCGGAGATCGGTGATCTCTCCAGGCTTGCCTATTCGCGTTGATCTCGTCTCTGAGATTTCCCCTACGCGCACTTCGGCGGTGGGATGAAACCGCAGCTGAAGATCCCCCCTCGCTGTGCTCCACCCTGGAGGTAAGCCTATCATGGACAGAAATCCTTTGCTCGCCAATCCGATTTACCACCGGAATCCTGAGAGTCGCTCTGGATTGATGTGAGCGCTGAGATTGGACTGGTGGAGAGTGCCTCTAAGTTGAGGGGAATTTTCTTCTCCTCATGGGATTAAGGATGGAGCCCGGCGAGGAGAAGGAGGACTCCCGTTAGGATCAGGAATAATACCTTGGAATGCGGTCGTCAAAGTCTCCACTTCCCTTTGAAACGTTGTGAGGCTTGCTAATGCCTGCGCTGGATCCACGTTGGGAATGTTATGTCCAGTGCCCGGCGTCTGAAATTGCGGTGGACGCACCGCCGTGCGCCTGGAACTCCCCGCACCGTGAATCTGGTTTCTCAAATCACCTTGAGCGGTGATATCATCGTTGCGCCTCCGAAAATCACTCCGTCGTGACCTCGAACCTTCGTCTTCGATCATGACTTGGTTGAAACGATCCCTGCCTTGATTGCTACCAACATGATTATGGCCGTTTGATCCAACCAAGATTCTTCGTAGATTCAGCTCTCAACGAGAGAACCAAATGATTGAGTTTAATCCAATTACGAGAGCTAAATATACGTAAAGTATAAAAATAATATCGAAAACCAATATGGCAGCGTAAGGCAGTATTACTCTTATTCCGGAATGCGAATTGACGATCCCCTTGGTAGGGTGTTTACATGAAGTATTTATAGAGATTAGGAAGTAGAATTATGGGAGGAATCTAATACAATAAATGCTTAATTAATGAACTATATTCTTGCTCGAAATAGAACTCCTTCGATGCTTGATTCTTACGCAATAATTATCTCCTTCTTGTCCACGAACTCCTTTGTTGCCAAATATCTATCTTCGAATGGTACCTTGCCACGTAGACCTCAGGAATATCCCGGCCTCACTAGAACTCCGCCCAGGCTCGAGGTCTGCTGTCCAGCCCGGCTTGGCTGTGGGTTCCTATCGTGGGCCTGAATCCCAATGGGTCAAGTGGCTCATTCAATATTACTCCCGTTTATGTGCTAATCCTGTGTAATTAGGTTGATCCCGTTGAGGGCTGATTCCGTTGAGGGCTGATCCCGTAGATGGGCTGATCTCGTTGATGGGCTTTGCTTTAATTCAATCTTGGGTCATGGCTGTGATCCATGGTTCCATCAAGTACATTCATTAATTTAAAATGAGAAATAAGTCAAACTACTAAAGTTTTTAAATTAAGGGGGTGTTTGGATCTGATTCTCAAAACTGATTTTGCTCCTTCAGGGAGCAGAAATAGAAGTATGAGTGTTTGAATGAAATTCCAGAAGCACTTCTGATGCTCTAATTTAATCCCAGAATCAGTTTTTTTAGAAGCTAGGAGGTACCACCTTCTGAAAACTGATTCTGATTCTGCTTTTGCTTTAAAAAAGAAACAGAAGCAGAATTAGTTCTAAACACCCCCTAAAAGTGAAAATGCTCAAAGTTCTAGAATAATAAAGACATAAAATATTTTAAAAGTTCTATTACATATTTCCTTTGGAGCTATTAATTTCCAAGGATGATTAGAAATAGGAGTAAGAGGATGAGTGAATTAGGAATAAGCCCATAACTTGTGTACCACATAAAAGCATGGTAAAATTATTTGTAGTTTTTGAGTTTTTTAAGAATTTTATTATGTAAATTTTGAGTGTTTTCTTAAAAAGTTTTTTGTTTGAAGAATATTTTTTTAAAGTTGATACGAGTATCTGTCAAAATACGAGTATCCAAAATTTTAAAATAATTACCAAAAAATGGAAACTTTTAAAAATTGCATATACCGTCCGGAAAAGTACGGTATGAGTATCCTAAAGTATCGGATACGAGAACGTTTCCGATACACTGATACGGAAATAGCCCGATGAGACGTCTTTTTCCAAAGTTTGGGTTCCTTCGTTTATGGACTTAAGAAGCTTCATTGCAATTGTACCAAAAAAATCATTACCTCTCATGAATTTTGCTTTTATAATTAATAGTGGTATACTTTCGTTTTAGAATTGGACAAGGTTTATAATTTGACATATTCATTCTATTCCATTTTATGCGTCTTACTCACGTAAAGAATGTAAACCATTTTTTTGAAAAGCAAAGAATGTAACACTTTAGACATTATGTTTTCAATGTTTATTACATTTAATACAACATGTACAAATAAAACTAACACATCAAAAATAAAATAAAATTTAGTCAAGGATAATAATGTTTATTAAATTATAAAGTTCTATATAAGAAAGCAAGGTAAGAACAAAATATTATCTCACATCTCTTTCTCGTGCCAATTAGGAACAGTGTAATCTTTCATAGTTAATGTTGATGAAGACAAATAGGAAGACCTTCCGCAGGAATGGGCATGGGATCATATTGCACTTTCTCATCGGGCACAAGTAAGCTCCACCTAAACCTCTTAATCAGATTGTGTAAAAAAACGAGTATCTCCAACCGAGCAAACTCTTTACCAAGGCACATCCTCGGCCCTCCTCCAAAGGGAACGTATGTGTAAGGTGGAGGTCCATCTCCTTCAAATCTCAATGGATCAAAGTTCATCGGGTCTTGGAATAAACTCTTATTGAGATGTGTAATTGGAGCGTTCCAGTAAAACTGTCAAAATCCACAAATCATAGGCTGAGCTACATTCAAATGATGATTGTATTACTATTGTTATTGTTACTACTCCTTTTGCCACTACAAATGAATGTTATGTTTACATGACACAAACAATATCGAGACAACAATTATGTGAAAAAAAAACGATTACTTAAGGCTGAATATATATTGTTATTTCTTTGTGTTCATAGAGATAATATTTGTATTCAATCCGTTAGATACTTGGGTTAAATTAAATCGGGGTAACACACATAAAGTGGGAAATATCTACAATATTTTCACGAATAACAAGTACTCACAAATCTAGATATAGCAGTCTGTTGCCCCCACACTACTTTGTTTCTTATCAATAACGTTACACGTGTAACGTGTTAGACAATCCACACCGGCTATGTATGAATACACAAACCAACATACAAGACAAAACTGATATTATCTTCAATTATATTTCACCCCATTAATTACTCCCTACACCCCTATTTCATGTCTTCACTTCGAATTGCACACATATTAAGAAAACGACACGATTTGACACTGTTTTGTTTACAAAATGAGGAAAGAGACTTTTTAAGGAACGTTCAAAATAGGAAAATGGGAACATTAAATAGGGACGGAGGAATTATAGTATAAGCACATAACAAATTGTGATAATAAGACTATTAGGTTATAAGAACAATGACACAATTTAAATGTTTGACCAATTGATAGTTACTTTTACACCAAAATGGTGTATGTGCTCGTGCATTGCAGTTTTAGAGAAAATGATACTCTTCGTGGTAAATAAGAAGTCACAAAAAGGGTTGCACTTTTTGTTCACAACGAAGCTCATTTGTGTTTTGAAAACAAAACATTCTTTATGAGGACAATAAAGTTCATTTTATTTACAAGAAAAAATTAAAGTTTTAGCGTTTTTTGCTCCGTTAAGTCTAAAATATAATGTACTATAAATATATTGAGTATTATTACCTTCCAACCTTTGGGAATGTCATAACCTTCATAGCTGATGTCCTCAAGTGCCTCTCTGAAAGCTCCGAAGACAGGAGGATATAGCCTCATGACTTCTGAAGCAACATTCCATGAATACTTCATCTTTTGTATGTCATTCCAATTAAGAAACTCTCCAACTTCTTTTGAAGATGCAATCTCTCTTTGCTCTACTTATCCGAAAATCACATTTAAAATAAATATATTTCACTTTTTAGCATGTGTCATTATGAAGGTTTTGGCTAGAAGAACAAAACATTGTCAAGAGCTATTGTACTATTTAAAAGCCGTCATTGCCTAATAAAATTTGCAAATCAATGTTTTGTGACTTAACGTGTCCTTATAATATGACATCTCATTAGATACATAAAGTAGACTAGTTTTGTAATCTGCATGGTCTTTGTAATTCTTAATCAGATAGAGATTCTCATTACAACATAATGAGCTTTGATATTTGTTGAGTTTTTTTCCCATAGATCCGAAAGCCCAACATAAACTTTGGATATTAGGGACTATGAATTTGGTATAAAAGTAAATAAATATATAAAAGTGTATGAACTAGCTATTTTTACGTGGAAACCCAGAAAGGGAGAAAACCACGAGACTTTTTAGGCTAACGTCCAAGCCCGCTCTTTCTCATTAATATGCTCTCCTCACAAATTACATAGTACAAGTTTCTTGCGACTCCATTAATGGAGGTGGGAAGCTTCTCTAATCTAAAGAAGTAAAACAATAAATGAAGTTCTGGGGGAGAGGAGAGCCAAAAATCGGACCCTTTAGCAGGAAGCTTTGCTTCCTATTTATAGATGGGGGAGGGGTATGAGAGTTTTCCCCATTTGAGCCAATGGGCCTAAATGGGCAGTGTTGGGCCAGAATGGGTCTGTTAGGCCGAAACGGACCACGCCGACTGGGCCCCGTACCGGGGCGGTGTCTTGGGCCTCTGAACGGTAGTAGGCCAGGATAATATATCCCAACAATATTATACTAAGATCTAAGGTTCTATGAGGTCAATGCATTAAGAAAAGTAGTCTAAAACCTTACAGCTTAAAAGATGGTTAGGTTTGATATGTATAAAAGGATAAGAAATTGTGTGTGCTCATACCTTTAAGGACCTTCTCGTAAACATGAGGCAACTCCCCGAGCTTCTTTACGAGCAGGGCGATAGTAACACTGGAAGTGTCATGGCCAGCGAACAAAAGCATGATTATATTGTTCACTATATGCAACTCAGACATAAAGTTCCCATCATCGCCCGGTGTGAGAAGCAAATGTGAGAGAAGATCATTGGCGGTTGAAGTTCCATTCTGTCTCATCTTTTCTCTTCTCTTTTTTACAATCGCAAGAAGTTCTTCCCTAATTAGATTAGTTGCTCTTATTGCGCGATAAAATCTCGTCCCGGGGACATTCAGGGGCAGTGATATGACTCCCTTGAGGAAAATGTTGAATAGGGCCGAAAGCTTGTTTATTTGGTTTGGGTCTTCAACACTCATAAAGAAGTGACAAGCTAGTTCGAAAGTGTACAACTTCACAACATGGAACACTTTCAGTGTCTCCTCACCTAAACACACGCCAAAGATTATATTTTCAATATATTCTGTTTTCAATATATTTATGCTAGCATATACAATGATAACTATTAATTAGTCAAGTTCTCTACTTCTCATCCATGTTGTGTATGTTAATGAATTTTGTAGTATCGATCTTCTAGTGTCGTAATAAAATACTGTACAGATGCATATGAGTAAAAAACTTAGAGTTGAGCTAACTCAAAGATGGTATCAATTTTTCAACTAGTTGGTTCAAGTTCTATGTAGATAAGTTTATTAGCCCTAAACCAATCATCCAGTATTCAAGAATTCTATTATAACAACAGTTCTCAAGATATTTGCTTCGAAAATATTCTAGAAAAGGAAGTCACAATCATTTTTCATAATTTCATCCCATTACTAATATATGGTCACGGCAAGGTCGCCTGGTTAGAGATAATAAGGCAGTTAATTAGGAGAAATACTTGATAGATCAATCCTATTTCGTATTTTATGTTCAGTTTGTTACGAAGATCAAACTGATGAAATTGTTGAATGATATGTTTACCATATTGATTCTATTAATCCTACTAACTCCAAGGTAACCTTCGATTGTGTAGCTCTTTACGTCGGTCAATATTCACGATTGATAAAATTTTCCAAAAGTAAAGTTTAATGCGAGTAAATAAGTCATATTATTAGAAAGAGACTTAGAATTAGTCCGTTATCACACACAAAATCCTCCAAATTTTTTGATTAATCTAGCAAGGATAGTATATATCATGTCTCCTTTCGTATGTCACTTCAATTTATATCATTTACTCCGTAATATTTTAATATATTACATATATTACATAAATTTAATTAAGTTGTGTATATATTACATAAATTTAATTAAGTTGTGTATATGTGTTAAGTATTACAAATTTGGAATGTAACTTTTTTATTGAAATTTAAATGAACAAAGTTGATCCTACCATATTAACATGAAACAAATTTAAATTTAGAGCTCGTTTGACAATAGTGAAGTTGGCTAATCGACTGATTCTGCTGAAATCGATTAAATTCTAACTGAAGAGGCTAAATAAGTTGAATATGTTGAATTATGAAAATTGATATTAAAAAATTATACAAAAAATAACTAAATTGTCCTCTAATCTAATTTCAATTAAGGGAAATTATCATTCACCTCCCCTGAGGTTTAACGTTTTATTACTTACACCCCTATAGTTTTAAAAATATGCAACAACTTCCCTGTATTATTTGAGAGTGTTAACTTTAACGGAAGAGTGTTAACCTCAAACACTAAAGCTAGCATGCTAAATGAAAACCCATCCAAAAGTTAGCATGATAAATTAGCAGCACTCATCTTTTGAGTATAACATACCATATTCCGTACTACATATACTTGAACCGTAGGCGGAATATACAAAAGTTAATTAGAGCATATACTTGAGGCTTCAGCCATCTACAACTCTCCACATCAGCATATTCAACTGCCCCTTGATAGTATAAATAGTAGCATTTACTTCATTGTAAAGGGTTGACAACTTACCCGTCTTACCTTACTAGTATTCATTTAGCTCTTAGCTTATTACTCGCAGCTCTTCTACTTGAGTGTGAGACGAACGGCCGCAAGCCTTAGCACAGTGCAGTGTAACGAGGAGTTATTAGACTTAATAATACTCGGCTCACTATTGCATACGGAGTATATTTATTAGCCCATCTTATTTGCTTGCATCACGTAGTCACATACACCATCCATTCGAAATATTTGGGCTTACGTGGTGGGCCCAAGAGTTGAAGAAATAAACCTCAACAATGGTATTAGTCAATATCCTTGACTTAAACCCCAGCCACTCATATACAAATCCTGGTTCAAATCAACTTAACATGAGGACACCACTCGGTCCTGAATTACTAAATAGTAATCTATGAGTTTTGAGGATACACGTCCGATCCTTGGGTACTCCACCCTATATAACCGAGTTTTGAGGATACACGCCTGATCCTTGGGTACTCCACCCTAAAATGAATAGAGAACTCTTAAGCACATTAAAAAAATCCCAGCATGCACAAACTACAGTCAAGAACATACTTTATTGAGAATAATACTACCCCCGTCAATTAAAACTTTGCCAAGTTTGACCTGCACGAGGATTAATAAAGTAAAAACTGTGTGATTGAGTTTTGTGCAGAGGAGAGCGAAATTAACTGGAATCATAAATTCTTTACTTAAAAGGGATAGTGGCAAAGTTAGTGGGACATCGAAAAAGGAAAGTTGACAAAGTTTTAAGGGACAAAGGGAGTGACATAAACACATTATTACATTTTTGTATTTCATAAAATTTGATAGGACATAAAAATTAGAAGTTAATTACTCCGTAATATGTAGTACTTACTAGCAAAAATCATACTCGGTATTAGTTATTCACCAATATACTACCTGGTCTATAAACTTAGGCAATTCAAGACTTTAATTAGTTCCTCTGTTTTATGTCACTCTTGTTTTGACTAACCTAGTTATCTTTCACGAACTAACTCAAAAATCCAGAATATGATGCCAAAAATGACTACTAATTCCTCATCATCACAAATAACAAAAGGAATCATTCTCAATCAAAAAACAGAAACAGAAAAGACAAATTTTGCAATTAAAAAGTCTCAATCCTAAAAAAGACATTTGTCCTTTAACAAATGCAAAGTGCCGTTGCTCATTATCTCTAACCTAGAGGTATATATTAGAGACATTAGAGAAAAATAAGAGCCCCAAAAGCATGAGTGCTGAAAAATAAAACCATGATTACATAATTGGCCTCTCAAATTCTCAAATACGAAATAGAATTCATTAGCCAAAAGGGGATAACATAATTTAGCAAAAGGAGAAAACATAATTATGAGATTCTAACAAACTGAGTTCTTTCAACAAAACAAAAAAACAAACTGAGATAATGAATCACACTAATCAACTAAAAGTCATGCCTGAAAGAGATTTGTAGCAGTTCTAGCTACTCCGTATTTGCTACATCTACTAGCTTAGTATGCATAATATCAATAAGCACTTCCATGGTGAGCATGGGTAAGTGAGGGTCTGTGGAAGTTTTTTTTTACGGTACAATGGTTTCTGAAAGCTGGGTATCCAATTATGAATTATGTATGCAAGTTAAATTACTAACCTTTGCTGTTAAAGTTGACACTGTCAATGATAGAGGGAGGTTTTTGCATATTTTTAATACTATAGGGGTGTAATTGATAAATCGTTAAACCTCAGGGGAGGTGGGTGATAATTTCCCTTCAATTAATTCATCTAGAAAAAATAATTCTAACCTTACTTATTTTAATTATTACTCCCTCCGTCCCATTTATATTGTCCCGTTTTACCTTTTCGGGAAGTCCCACTTAAATTGTCCCAAACCATATTTGGCAAAGTTTGTGTGGCTCTATATCATTCTTACTTTATTCTTATTTTATCCATTAATATTAACCACACAAACCCACTTTTCTTAATAACCGTGCCACTCTCTTCCGTCCCAATATAAATGGGACGGAGGTAGTAAAAAATTCTACAAGCAAAATCAAAATTAATATGTTTGGTGAAAAAGTTAATCGATAAAACTGAAAACAGGTCACTAACCTGCTCTTATATACAGTACTACGTACTCCCTCCATCCCGAATTATAAGATACTTTTCGATTTATGATGTTTGACCGACGATAAAGCAAACGGATCTTTGTCTGCAACTGCATTAAGCCATTAATGGTTGGTTTGCAAATGCTTTTAAAAAAACACTTCTAAGCTTTTGGCTTAAAAAAACACTTATTTTACTAAACACTATCAACTTTTATTTTTTTCGACTTTCGTGTGAAAAGTGTTTTTACTTTTTCTACTACGTATTATACAAAAAGCACTTATTTTACCAAACACTGCCAACTTTTACTTTTTCAAATCATTTTTTTCTCAAAGACTATCAACTTTTATTTAATCACTTCTTCCCATTTCATTAAAAAAACATTTTTAAAAGCAAAATCTGTTGCAAACAGACCCTAAAACTGCTATAAAACTAGCAAGTAATTCAAATTTCATAAAATTTTGATATATAAAGTAAGAGATTAAGAGTGATTTGTGTTGACCAAGTGAATAGTAAAGATATCTCATAAAATGGGACAGAGGGAATAATTGTTTTTGTTAACCAAGATATGATGAATAAAATTATAAAATTCCAAAATATGAGTAATGTTCGTAAAGTAATGAAATATGAGTCATTAATGTTATTCTGCATATTGATACTCCCTAATTAAAATTACAAATTTCCATTTTGAACGTCCCAAAATAAACTTTTCTTCCCGTTATAATAAAAAAATTGTTCTTGACAGTAATTTTTCACATTATTACACATTTTCTCTTCTCTTGGAACTTAATTTAGGGACGGGGTATATGTTTATGACAGTATATACGGAGTAATACTTTTAATGAGAAAATAGCCCCAAATAGGATTAAATTGTTGCTGAAAATCTAAAATAGGAGTAATATAATCTTATTCCCTAAATAGGGCTCTTCTTCCAATTTTACCCTCTAACCTATTTAACCCATCTCAGGCTCACGACCTCCTATCATTTTACTTGCACATTGTATTTCAACATCGCTGCATTTCAACAGTGCGGCATCTTTGCGCGCAGATCTGGGCTTCTGCTTCAACCGCGACCGACAGCGAGTATGGACGAACAGCGCCGGCTAGCGCCGGAAAGCAGCGGCAGCGACCACCATGTCCCCTCTTTCACAGCTTCCTGATGCGGCGAGCAGCAACGAACAATAGAGGCGGGCAGAGGAGCAGAGCCTAGCAACGAGTGAATAGTGAGTCGAGATCTATAGCCGGAGTATCTTCCCCTCCTTCCTCCTCCTCTGATGTGCTTCTCTCTTCCCTTCTTTTGTTTCATCGCACATATGTGCTCTATTTCTTCTTGGGTGCTTCAAATTGCCAAATATTACTCTGGAATGCCATCAAAATGGCATTTTTACACTTCAGAACTTTTTGTAATTTCTTTAAAAAATGCCATTAAGATGGCAATCTTGATTCATTTTGGCATTCTGAGAGAAATGTTGGCATTAGCGGTGGGGCCGGCCGGATCTGCAGTGGTGACGGCCGGACATCCAATGGTGACAGTCCGATTTGCATGGCCGGCGGCTAAGGGCGGACAGATCTGGTCAGATCTACGACGGCGACGTCCAAATCTGCACCGACGGCGATAAGATCTATTGCGGCGACATCGAGTTCTGAGGAGGAGGCGGTCGACGACCGATGACCAGCGGCGACCGGCGACCGTTGACAAGCGGCGACCGGCGATGGGTTAGGTTCTGTCAACGGCAGGCTTTTTTCAGGGCTCCAGGGGTGTTTATGTCTAATTACAGATAATAACTCCCATTTAGGGAATTTTTAAAATTTAGTCCTATTTTGACAATTAAGGATTTATTTAGAAGCTGTTCTCTTCGTCTGATCTGAATGTTTTTGATCTGAATTTTTTAAGTTCTGATCTGATCTGATCTGAATTTTTCTGATCTGATCTGATCTGATCTGAATCTTTCTGATCTGATCTGATCTGATCTTAATCTTTCTGATCTGATCTGATCTGATCTGAATCTTTCTGATCTGATCTGAATGTTTCTGATCTGGTCTGATCTGAATGTTTCTGATCTGATCTGATTTGAATGTTTCTATGATTATAATTATGATTATAATTATAATTATAATTATTATAATTTCAATTACAGATATAATTTAAATAAAATTATAATTATAATCGTAACTATAATAATAATAATAATAATAATTAAATTTAAAATGAAAAAATTTATACCTATAACACTAATTATAAATATAGATATAATTATAACTGTAATTATATTTTTAATTATAATTACTTACATAATTATAATTGTAATTATAATTACAATATTTATCTCTATAAATGTAACTATAGTAATCAATATTATTATAATTACTCCGTAAAATAATTACAATAGTAATAATAATAATTATTATTATTATAATAAAAATAATAATTATAATCATAAGTTATAATTATAATATAATTATAAGTATAATTATAATTATTATAATTATAATTAATAATAATTATAATTATATTAAAATTAATTATAATATTATAATATAATAATATAATTATAATTATTATTACTATAATTAATAATAATTATAATTATATTAACATTAATTATAATATTATAATATAATAATAGTACTATAAATGCAATTAATATTATCATAACGATATTATTATATAGTAATATTATAATTACATATAATTATAATATAATATTATAATAATATTAATCATATTATTATTATTATATTGTAATAATAATAATAATAATAATAATAATAGTCTTCTTAATAATTGCATTTATATTACTATTATTATATTAAAATATTATAACTATTATTAATATCTTATTTCTTTATCATATTATTATTAATATATTAATAATAATTATATAATAATAATAATCATAATAGTAATAACAATATTAATAATAATAATTAATACTCCGTATAATAATAAAAGTGATAAATCATGTTTGAACTTTTCTGATCTGATCTGATCTGAATGTTTCTGATCTGATCTGAATGTTTCTGATCTGGTCTGATCTGATCTGAATCTTTCTGATCTGATCTGAATCTGTCTGATCTGATCTGATCTGATCTGAATCTTTCTGATCTGATCTGATCTGAATTTTTCTGATCTGATCTGATCTGATCTGAATAAAATAAGAATAAGCAATAAGTAATAAGAATAAGACGAACAGAACAGCACCTTAGTCTTATTTTGGTAAATCTCACTACTTTTAATTTCACCACCGACACTAAGAGCCCGTTTGGAGAAATCTGTTTTCGGCTTATCAGGCTTATCAACCAGCTTTTTCACCAAACACGTAACTTTTACTTTCGCGCGCTGAATTGTGTAATAAGCCGAAAAAGTAAGGTTGGAGTTACTTTTCTGGCTGTATTGGCTGAAGTTACTGTAGAGGACCATTTTAGCTATTTTTACATATAATTTTTTCTTTAATTTATTAATAAAATATATTTTTAAAATATTTTTTTCTTAAATCAGCAGAATCAGCCAAAACAGCCACTCCAGCCAGAATATCATAAATTTCAGCAGAATCAGCCAAAACAGCCGATTTTGGTGCTAGTAAACGGGCTCTAATTCATCTCCATTCAGAAAAATATACTTCACGCGTTTATCATTCCTACTTTGATTTTTGACCAGTAGTTTTAAAATGAGCTGTGAAGTCTGACCGTGCCAGTGAGCCTGAAGATGCTGCTGCGTCACAAAATCCATAATCCATATCTTTGATGTACAGCTGCTGGAGAGCCGCCGGGCTTACGAAGTATGACATCAGCTTCTTCATCTTCTTCCCTTCCTCGCCGGCGCTGGTCGTCAGGCACACTCCCAGCAGCTTCTGCACGGAAGCCGGCCACCACGTCGCCACCAGCTTGTTCCCGTTGCTGAACAGGAACTTGTTCCCCGCCGGCCCGCTCAGCACAGCCACCGCCTCCCCCATCAAGCTAGTCTTGAACACCCCAGACTTGTATTTCCTCACTCTGTCCGCCACGAACTTCTCCGGCGTCCCTTCCCGGCTTAAGCGGAGGAACTCCAGCGATTCGCCGACCACCGGCCATCCGAAGCTGCCCGGCGGAAGATTCCGGGATCTTTTCTTCTTGCCGTGGATAAAACGGGCGGTGGATAGGATGAGAATAGAGGCCAATACTATCAGAACCCCTGTCAACATTGGATCCATAAGTTTCTGCAATTTCCTTATCCTTCTCTTGGATAAGGACTCAATTGATCATTGACTTTTCTATTTTTTGCTAAAACCATGCCTATGTACGGTGTAAATAGGCGCATGTACTAACCAAAAAGGTCAAATAAGCCCTTATTTAGGAGGTTCTGTCCGGCCGTCGCCATTTGGAGTGGTTCCCGGTGGAATTTTTTGATGAAAATTTTTGAGCATCTTATTCATGAAGTCTAGTTTATTCATATCAAATTTCAACTAAAACTTCAATCGGGAAGACATTCAAATGAATTCTTGAAAATAACTGCGCAGTTAGAAGCACAGTTATCTTCAAGAATTCATTTGAATACCTTCCCGATTAAAGTTTTAGCTGAAATTCGGTATGAGTAAACTAGACTTCATGAATAAGATGCTCAAAAATTTTCATCAAAAAATTCCACCGGAAACCACCCCAAATGACGACGGCCGGACAGAGCCTCCTAAATAAGGGCTTATTTGACCTTTTTTGGTCAGTACATGGGCCTATTTGCACCTTTTTCCTTTACTTAAACAGGAGTCTAACTTTTTTTAACCTTAAATAAGACTACTTTTAACCGGCCTACCGTTTTTACCCTTGCTGCCTTTGAACGGCTCAGAGGATCAGATCTGAAACCTCAGCTTCTTCATAACAGCACAGAAGCTCGGACACTACACGTACTCCGATTGTGACGGTGAAGGCGGTTAAGAGTCGGCGGCGGAGTCAGCGGCAGCGGACTGATCCCTGCTACGTGTGGTTTCTTCTACTCTTCTGCTTTCGATCTTCCTTCAGTCCTTCTCCTGCTCTGCTTATCCTCATCTCCTTTCTTCTCTAGCTATCTTTTTTTTTCCTCCCTTTTCTTTTGATTCTTCATTACATATTTACATTACGGCGAGGTAATGGTTCTTCTTTTAATAAATCTTCTTCTTTCATTTTTAATTGTTCTTCATTCATTATTTTGAATTTCTGATTTAGTTGTGGCAAAACGTCACAATGGAAAGTTGGTGTCTTCAAAAATTTGTAATTTGCTGAGAACAAAAAATGTTTCAAAACCTTGGATGTCTTTGATTTCGAAAAACTATATCCCTCCAAACTATTCTTTCACTGCGTGGCTGTGTATCCAGAATCGGCTATCAACAGCAAATAGCTTATGGTTTTTGAATATTGATAGGGTGTGTGGTTTCTGCAATTCTGATTTGTAAAGCATTGAGCATCTTTTTTTCGCTTTTCCCGTTACTAATGGGATATGGAGGGCAGGGCAGTATGTGCTTTGGTGGGAATAAGGAGACTGAATTCAATTCTTGAAAGTGTAATTAAATGCTGTAAAAAAAGAGTTCAAAGGGCTAGAATGAGCAGTAAGGTTGGTTTTATGCTGCACCATTCATAGTATTGGAAGGCAAGAAATTTGAAAGTTTTTTAAGGAAGGGTGGCTGATGTTAAGAGTATACTGGCTGAAATTCAGTTTCTAACATATAAAGTCCTGTATAGAATTTATCCACCAAATATGATTGACTTTTAATATTCTACTTACCCTTTTATAGGAGTGTTCTGCCAGCTAGTTTTTGTTTTTGATGTTATTGCAAAGTTGTTGCTACTGAGTGGTATGGCCTCTAGGATTTAGGTGATATGTTGCAAGGTGGTTTGTAACATGTAGTCTTCTTTGGAATTGTTGGTGAAGGGATATGCCCTTTTTCTTTGCAATTGTTGTCTTTTTCAATATAATTTTACGGGTTATCCATAAAAAAATCCGATTTCTTCTTTTACTGTATATTTGTTGTTTTTTCAAATTTTTCACATTTATAGTTTTTTGTTTTGTTTGTGGTCTGTTACTGCTTAATTGATTTTGAATCTAATAAAAATGTTATTATAATATATCAATGTCATCAATAAAAACAATATCACAATGTCAATATTGCAATGTCATATGAGTGTCACCGTGTCACAATGCTACTAGTATTTTCACAATGTCACAATATCACAATGTTATTAACGAAAATAATAACATCACAATGTCAATATTGCAATGTCATATGAGTGTCACAATGCTACTAATATTTCACAATGTCACTATATCACAATGTCATTGACGAAAACAATATTAAATTTTTTAGAATGTCATAATGTTATGTTATTACATAATTTCGCAATGTCACATGAAAGTGGTTAATTTTCAAACAATGTCATCACTACATTGTCATATAATGACATCGCATGTATTATATGGTCATCTAATGACATTATAATACATTGATAACAATGTCATTTTTATACAATTGACATTATTAACAATGTCATTTTTATAACATTGACAGTTATCGACATTGACGTTATCATTTTTATATAATTGACATTGTCATTATTAGATGTCATTATCCATAGCATTAATATTGTCATTCTTGTTATTTGACATTGTGATTTTTTTTACATTGTACGGAGTAACATTTTCCTAGACATTGTAATACATTGTCAATAATAAGTTTGACCCAATTTAGGTTACATTGACTTTTGAACAATGACTTTGAAATTTTAAAGAATGGCCATGTATTCACATTGATTTTTAAACAATGATATTATATTACTCTGTACATTAATTGTCATTTGATGATACTGATTTTTAAACAACGACATTATATATACTACATTATTATCATATAATGTATTACACTGACTTTTAAACGATGACATTATATTATTTGAAATATTATCATATCATCTCTTTTCACTTCTATCCACTTGTTTTTTAGATCTTCTTCTTAAATTTTCATTTTAGTCCAGATTCCTACGGTTAAAGCATACCAAAGAGTCCAGATTCCTACGGTCCTACCGTTCAGAGAAAACGATTGTCCCTGTCCTGGCTTTTTTTCATAGCAATGTTGGGACTGTGTATGTGCAAATTGGGTATTATCCCCAAACTGCGTGTGGCATTTTACTCTCTTTGAGAATTGCATTGACTTAGTTGTTGGTTGGTTTAAGGTTTTGTAGGTTTTTATTAAAAATACGAGTACATTTCTGTTTTAATTCCTTTTTCTTTTTTTCTTTTATAATATAATAAATTATAATTTAGTCATAATTAATTACCTTAAAGAAATAGTTCATTAAATTAAATTAATTGTTAATGATTACAAATGATGTATGTTGACAATGTCATTTTCATAATCATTGACATTCTTATGAGATTGTCATTGCCATTTTTATGACATTGTTATTGACATTTTTATGACATTGTCATTGACATTCTTATGACATTGTCATCATAATTAGTTAACATTACAACATATTTACGACGTTGTGACTTTTTTTGTAAAATTAACATTGTCATTATAGCTATTGACATTGTCACAATTACAAATGACAATGTCATTGGGACATTTTATTTATCCGGTGACATTTTTATACATTGACATTGACAAGATAACATTGACATTCTTATGCCATTGTCATTTGCATTTTTATAACATTGTCATTGACATTTTTATAAATTGTAACATTGTTAGTGAAAAGTTTGATCCCGCATAGGTTTGTCACCCATAATGAAAATTTTATAGCCATAAATGATTAAATTGTGACACCAAATTTCAATAAAATTGACTTTATTTTAACATGACATTTTATTAAGACATTGTTTTCCCCTTTTATTAGAGTTGGACAATGTAATTTAATTGACTTTCCAAAATAATGCAATAAAATCTAACAAAATAAAGATATTGAAGACATTGTTTTCATCGTATTATCATTATTGATGAAATAAGTTACTGAAAACTGAATTCATCAAAATAGTAAATGAATCCACAAAAATGTATTACAAACTAGAAAATCAAAAGTTAGAATTATCAAATTGAAAAGTAAAACAAGATCGAAAAGCTACGAAAATCCAGGGAAGATATGTCGCTAAACGTACACTAAAGAAGAAGAGAAAGAAAGAAAAGAAAAAGAGAAAGACTTGTGCCGGTGACTGATCCGCCGACTACTCCGGCGACAAGATGTGGTAGACCGGAATTAAACTCAACACTGACCGTAGACCAACGAGAACAATTACGCTGTTGATAATTAATCCAGTCACCAAGGGCCTCATTGTTGTTGATTGTGGGCGAGGTGAACGATGATGCGTGCCTGCGTATATTTGGAGCAATATATGCTGGGAACCGTATTTCTAAATTGTGCGGTTGATGATTAGGAGGAAAAGGGTCAAAAATTGTTGGTGTTGGACTGTTGGAGATGGGTGTTTGGTAGCTTTGAGGAAGATGAAGAATCTGGTTTGTTGTGTTGCACTGGAGGAATTGCGACACGGCGCCCGCAACTTGAGATCTGGGGGCCGGGGCTATTTTTGTCCGAGACGGAAAAAGTACTCCTATTTGGGGTTTAAAAAACTCGAACTCCTATTTGTGTTCCATGCCAATGTTTTGATCCTATTTATGTCTTTCTCCCTTCTTTGCACTACATCTATTTTGTCTATTTGAAGTTTCGAACCTTTTTTATAAAATTAGTTGGAGCAAAATGCATAAATAGTTAGAACTATCATCGTCATATCATTTTGGTTCGTGAACTATTTTTTTTGGAAAAATTCGGCTTATATTGAAAACCGATAATTCAGAGTATGAGTCAAGTGACAAAAAAAAAATCTGACAACCGTTATCCCGCGAACCAGACTCGGAATTAATCACCTTCAGAGAACCAATATAATTCGTTGATCCATAAATGGGAAACCTAAAGCTAAAAACGGTCACCATATTCCTCTCATCCCCACATCTAAAAACAACGTCTTACAATCAGGAACACAAAAGAAAAATCAACAGCATAACGGAAATAACAATCACGGAAACAGCAAATTAAACAAAAGAAAAAAAACTTCTGTCGTAGCAGAAGACTCGAGCAGTCCCTCCGACATGCGGCCTCCATACTCCTGTCAGCAGCTTCGGCGGGCTTAAAGAGCAAAGCCCGCTTCCTTCTTGTTTGTTGTCCAATCCAAAGTCATATTGTCATTTTCTTGCTCCTTCTCTGTCTGAGTCTCCCAATCTTGCTTCTCTTTGAAACCTCTTCCTTTGACTCTCCCCTCCTCCTTTGGTAAACCTTTGGGCTGATTCAGTCGTTGCCTCTTTCTCTTTCTTTCCAATCTTTTCTTCTGATTTAAATGCCCCTGTATATCCACCCGTTCTGCCAGAGCTCGATGAACCCTCCAATAGCCACTTATTACATCCTGTTGGGCTGGTC